TGATTTTTTTTTTACATCATAATATATTACTGTGAAAACTTTATTTTAGTTAATTTTCGCTGAAAAGATATTTTGGCTGTTTTTTTCACTGATTTTTGGTGAGTTAAACATAAAATATTGGAAAAGAATAGAAGGGGTATTCTCACTAATTCATTCTTTCAGTAATAAATTCCAAGTTGAAAAAATAAAATAATTTACAGTAACTTCAAGTGCAAATGACAAGCCAACAAGTCACTGTTCACATGTGTATGCGCACAAAACATAGCTTTCATTTAGTTCAAGATTTCAGTATAATTTTGGAGCATGAAAATGATGAAATATTGACAAAGTTCTTTAGCACTACAAGCAAAGTATTCTATTAATACACCAACACCAGGAATGCACTAAATGTCTTGTTACAAAATTACATATAACAAGAAAATGAATATCTAGGTTGATACAGGGAGTTATGGTAAAATGAAGTCTGGAACTGTTGTCATAGATACTATTAAAATTTGTACATGCATCTTTTGCAATAGGCAATCTCAACATATGTATATTGTAATAAATATTGTGTATGGTTAGAATGCTGGTTGTACTGAGTAGATGTCCCATATCACTTTTCACAATTGTACGCAGTCACTGTGGTGTCGTATACAAATATTTTACAATACAATATTTATCTGAAAGATCGCCCACTGCAAATGATCGCTCATGTGCAATGTTTCAGCATCTGATCTTTTGGTGCCGAAAAAAGCTCACTAATTAGTAGAATACAAATCAGCAGCAGGTTTAGGGGATTTCACACATGACTACAGTGTCAGTCTGATGGAGCTTTGTAAAATGTCTGCAATTTTGTTAAAAAAATAACCCTAGATTAACAAAAAAAACGTGTTGACAGAGGGGATGTTTTGATCTATATGCATTGCACTTTTTTTTGGCACATGACTATATTTATGCTTGCACCATACTGTAAGTAAAAAAAAAGAATTTCACGTATGCTAAAATCGTCGCTATTAATATTAAAATGTGTTGCTATCTCCAGTATATAGGGATCGCTAATCATGTAAGGTGACACGTAGTACTGTACGTCAGAATATCACAGTTTATAAGTTGTTTTTTTTTAAACCGCTTGACAATAATGTTTTCCATAAAAATTAGACTGCGATTTTAAAAGAATACAAATTTAAATTTTTTTTGAACAGCAAATAGAAAACGTATAATATTTTTTTGCGATACCAAATGTAGTTTGAACTACTGTATAAGAAAGCCAGACTGGCTGGTGTTGACACGAGGCATAAATGTGAAAAGCAGTTTATTGTACATTTTTGAGAAAAAAATTGCCAAAACATTGTTCTGGTGATATTCTAAAGTATTATCCAAAACAGATAAATAATGGTACCATTATTTTGATGTTTTGTGGTACATGTACATGTATATGCCACATAACATATATTGTTGAAAACTGAAATCAAGTGTGGATACATTACTTCCAGTTTGCTCTGACACATATATTATACCGTAATACCGAGATCATTGCTGGCTAAATTGTGTGCCAAGCCTTGCATTCAGGTTAAGTAAGATCTGCCACCATTACCTTTTATCAATGTAAAAACGAGGCTTAGACTGTAAACAGTCAGCAATGACCGCCACATGATAAGAGCACATTGCCACAGAGATACTATATTTGCTCCATACAAAGTTGTTGAGGCTTTCAAAGACCATTTTAAATGACAAGTTTGTTAAAAATGTGTAGCCATAGTAACAACTTGAAAGTGACCAAAACAATTTGCTTATTATACTATTTATTGTAGCTCCATATAGATGACGACGATGATGAAGATTCATCTGCAGTTATAATGGCATTGGTTGTACCCCCACCGTCTCCTGAAGACACCAGACCAAGTACTCCAGTGCCACCAGGTATTTAGACTAACAAGTTATGCATGCATACCCAATGTAAAAATTAAATCGCAGTAGTAAAAGAATTTGTTTTTTCAAAAGCATGAATTCATAGCATACAAAAGAAATACTTATTACACAGTGATTCACTGGTTCAAATAAAAACAGATAACAACATTTGCCATGATTTCATCTGTCATTGACAAGTTTAGTGAGAAATTTGCAGGTACAGCAGTTACCAGTGGCAGAATAAATTTTGCCGAAAGTATGCAAATCTGCCAAAAAAAATCCAAGTTACGTCCCAAAAAGTTCATTCAGAAAACTATGTAGATTGCCCACTGCAAATAATCACCCATGTGTTTTTAATTCATAATTTATAATGAATTTATTCTTCCGTTGCATGGATCTTTAATGTTCATGAAGCTGCATGTATATTGAGTTGAAATAATGTAGATAAATGAACATTGGCCTTATATTGTGAATGTTTTTCTTTAAATAATGTAATATTCTTGTCATACCTGGGTGAATGTTTCATCAAGATCATTACAGCACTAAAGAAACAACAGTAGTGTACTTGATGACACTTTTGGTGATGAGTATGTGTGTACACATTATTTTGTCATTTAAACTTCTCAGCTACCATATTACCCAGGGCATGCG